ACCAGGGATAGATATTGGTGGGCTAGAGGCTTAGTACCATTAATATAATTTCACACATCTGGGAAACAGATTCCATATTTATGAAGTAATTCAAATTCTACTCAGCCTATCAGATTTTAAAGAAATATCTTGGTTTCCAGAATGAAAGTCACTGTTCCTGATGACATAACCTTAATTGCTGCTTTTGATTTTTAATACTCACCTTGTGAGCTACACATGCTATAAAAATGATTTATCAGTAATAAATTGTAATACATATAATATTGGGTAAAATGTTTACTGCAGATTTTTGCACTATTCTTGCTGTAACTAAATAAGAACATTCCAGTACTTCACTTGCCTTTGGGGAAAAAAATTAAAACTTTCTTAAATAAATTCGAGTTAGTTATAATATATATTTGGCAATTAAATGCAAATGCTAGAAATCATAAAAGTATACTTGAGACCGTTTGTTACATCAATTTTGGGGCCATATTTAACTGATTCGGGATCCTAAAAATGGAAGAGGGAAGGAATGTTTAATGTTGCAAACAAACCAGTAATAGCCTAATAGCATTGAAAGTAAAAGAACAAGGATATGTCTTTTTTTTTTTTTTTTTTTTTTTTTTGGATCAGTAAGGGGATCTCAACCCTCCGCACGGTGTTGTCTGCACCACTCAGCCAGTGAGCACACCGGCCATCCCTATATAGGATCCGAACCCGCGGCCTCAGTGCTACCAGCGCCGCACTCTCCTGAGTGAGCCACGGGGCCGGCCCCAAGGATATGTCTTAAAAGACCAATTAGCATAGAATCATATGCTATCAGGAAAGATTACCAAAAGTCTATTATAAATACTTTTCTGAAAGATTAAGAAGATTCACTTGGGACTTCTTATAATAATAAATAGAAATATATTGCCTTTTATAACAGGTTTTAAATAAACTAGAAAAAATATACTTTCCAGCAATAACAAAATGGTACAATTATTGCTTAAGTTGTAGATACTAGAAGTTACAAATATGAGTAAATTGCTCTATGAAGTATTCAGCTTACACATGTAGCAAATGTTTTCCTGGGTTTTCCACAGGCATCCTTAAATTGTAGGAAACAAAAAGT